AGAGAGAGGGCCGCGGGAGACCTATATTCATCAAAGGACTTGTTGTCTTGACCATTAGGTAATTTTACGGATCATTTTACCACCTTCTTTAGTGTCATTAGTCGCAATCTTTAAAAAACACAAGCATACTTTACCAGGTGAAATTGTTTGTTGAACATCATTCGATGTAAAAACTCAAACGTGTGAACGTGTGGTGAATTGTCTTCATATGACTAGAAATTTTCCAGAATAGGAAAACAAATATAAAGGAGGTTTGAAATCGTTCCCTGTTAGCCTTTATTCATTTCTCTTAATCGGATAAGCGACGTATATTTTCGTACCTCTTTTATTTCACAGAGTTGTGGGAACAAACATAACTGCATGCAGTAGATTGGATTCTACTAGTTGTTGAAAGTAAGCATAAGTAACAATATCAATCCCAATTCTTAAGTTTGGCAATGAAAGATTTGGGATACATTAAACACACATGTGAGTTCCTGACGCACGTATTCTAATTTAATTTAGATTGAAGTGGGTGATAAAGTCGAATACGTTTCCCCACATAAGATATTATACGACGGGAGCGCATTTTGCATTGAGACAATGCTTTTTGTCTTCATTCTTGTAATTTGCAATGAGAAAAAAATGCATTCTATTCTTTATTCTTGAAACTGGCCCCGGAGATCATATGCAAACAACTGACTATGCAAACAACTGACTAAGACCAGCTGCGAAATCACTGTAAAGGTAAAAACCATTTATCATTTATTGTTTAGAAATAGCAATTTAAGAAGCGGCAAGCTTCAGTTATATATATCGAAGTTGTATCGCAATGGGGATCGGTACTCACTCACTGATCAGCGAAGATTGTTTCTCTTCTGCATACTGGGCGCGTATCGCCTGTCGCTACACAAATGGTCGCGTGCGTGATGTCCTCGCGGTTCTATAGAATCAGATGGTAAGAGAAATACTTCACCAGTCTTCAAAAGATTGTTTTGAACCTTTTGGTGTGGATAGTAGTTCAGTCTCAGATTCCCAGTTACACTTGGCCAGTCAGTGTAAGTTTTTATAGGTGGCTACAATATTTGTGTGCCTTACTTGCATATCCATGTGAAAGCTCATACAGGATCGCTTGGTTGGGCTGTAACTTCGGACTCAATTCGGCTTCCAGACACGAGAAGGAAAAAAGCTATTAGAGCCTCCTGAGTTTTTTTTTAATGCTTTTTCTCGAGTTATCAAGCGGTGTTAGCATAGATTGTCGGCTTACATCGCTGAAACTGTCAAGAACTCTGGTTAAACTTGGGCGCTTGTTATGTACGTTTACAACAACGGTATCACATATCTGTCTTTCTGCTGACCTTTGCGCAACAGGTATCATATTATTCGTCACATTTTTATAAGGCACCCGATCATCAGACTTCATTGGCGTAAATTGTACAGGCAGCGACCGCAATACTTGATCCATGTTGACCGTCATGTTAGCCATGAAGCCTCGGTAATATTTCCTTTAAAGAGACTTTTTGTTACTTTTATGAGTGCGTAACAGCACGGGCAACGGTCGCTTATATAGATTTATTTGTTCAGCAATCAACCACAGCAGCAGCAAAAAAAGGGAAGAGAAAGGCCAAAAACTTGATATATTTACGCCTTGAGCCGTGAGGGCTGAGTCAGCCTGAGCCCTGAGGGCTGAGGACCTGAGGCTTGAAGTCTTGTTTGAACAGTGAACTCCCACCATAGAAGAGAGGCTGCGAGTTTGCTTGATTCCTATTCTAAACCACACGTAGTAATATGTAAAGAGTACAACCTGTTACCTTTTTGTATTTGTTCTTCAAAAAAATATGTACTATTATTGATTTTCATTTGATCACAATCCAGTGACCAGAGATAAATACCAGGTACCTATCACAGCCGAATACATAGAGGCAGAGACTAGACTCACTCTCTACTCTAGAGTAGAGAGTCTCTCTCTTCCCAGTAGAGACTCTCTACTAGAGTAGTGATTAGACAGAGAGAGACTCCTAAAATATTTAATAATAGACTACTACTTAGTAGAGAGAAACTAGAGAGTCAACGACTAATTTCTATTTATATATAATAGAGAGACCGCCTGACGTTCCGTTTGCATTTTGCAACAATTTAGAAAAAGTTGTAACTAAGCGCTCTCTTCCACGCGTGTATAGTATTGGGCAAAGCACGGAAAGCGGTCTATAATTTTACTCGTACCGTTTTAGCGCTTTGATAGACAATACGGAATGACTTTTTTTCAGCAAAAGGCCTTCTAGATGAAGCATTGGCTATGTTTTAGCGCGTGAAAAACAGTATGAACTTTCTGAAGATTCCAAGATGAGGATTGAGGAATGAGGACTGAGGAACAGATAAAAACCCTAAAGACGAGTCTTTTGTTTTTGTTTGTTTTGGTATGTAAAATGGATTGAATTTTTTTTTAATCTGTAGAGTAAGATATATTTTTCAAAACAATAACTGCCCTTCTATGTACCAACTGTCCTCTAGTAGCATTGCCCAGTTGCCAGTTTGTGTTCCGACAGGCGACAAATGTCGAATGAGTACTCCAATGCTGAATAGTCCCAGAATGGCCTGGGCCGCCTGGGCCGCCTGAAGCAGTGTAAGGGGGCTTGAATCTTGTGATACTTGATAATGGTAATACATGCGCTTTTGTCACCGACAACGATCGTATGTAAGCAGCTAAAAAGGTATACCATAGCCTTCTGTCTAATTTAAAAGGCCATATTCAAACCGAGGAGAAGTGCAGAACTGCAGACCCTTAGACAAGCCCAAAGTAAAACATATCTTGCGATTATGCGTTGTGCACCAAAGTAAAAAGTTGCAGTTGCATATACCTCTCTAATATTTACATTGCAAAATTCTACCTACGTGAAATACCAAGCTCTCCGATTTGCCGTTTTGTGTGTTTATTAAATTTTATGTAGACTATTTTAGTTGAAGTAACATGCTCCTCTTAGAAATTCTGCGCTTCGACATAATTCGACGGGAACCTGCAGTAATGTTTGCCAGCCAGCTACTTAGTTTCAACGAAAAAAAATTAGAGTCTGGATGTAAGTGATGTGCGCCGACCCTCACATACATCCAGGTACTATGGTACGCGAGAGATGGTACATACACAAGTAAATTCAAAACTCAACGAGCAATGAGGAAGGGGGATTTACTAACCAATATTACTCAAGCAGACTCCTATCTTCATAATCTACACGCAGTTATGAATGGAACTCCACTCCAGGAGTTCAGGAGTTCACGAATATGTTTATGAATATATATATATATATATATATATATATATATATTAATATATATATATACATACATACATACATACATACATACATACATATACACATACACACGTACATACATACGTACATACCTACATGAATATACAATACATATATACATAACATAATATACACATACTTACGACAAAGAAATACACACACACACATA